AAGTAATATTTATATGATAAGAATTTATTAGTAGCTCTTTATAATGTATTATTATATAATTATAAATATAAATTATAATAAATAATTAATTAATCTAATATAAAAATAATAAATACAGTCAAACCTCAATATAATGAATTTGATATCTAAATCAATTAGGTCTTTATTATAAGAATATTTATTAATATTATAACAAATTATTTAATATAATAGATTATTATTGATTTTATTATACAAATATAATTTTATTATGATATAATTTTCTAGAAATATTTTCATATTTATTTTGTAAATTCTAGTTATTTTATTTTAATATGCAATTTATTAATCATTATATGATAATTTTATTAATTTATTAATTTTTAAAAAAATTAAAAATAAATTAAATATAAAATAAAAATATAAAAAAAACAAAATTAAGAAAACTAAATAAAATTATAAAATAAAAATAAGAAAATAAAATAAAACTATAAAATAAAATTAAGAAACAAAATAAACTATTAAACGAAATTAAAAAATGAAATAAAACTATAAAATAAAATTATAATTATTATTTTGCTGACATATTATAATTTCACTTTATATTTTAAGTTTTCATAATAGGCAAATTACAATATATATCAATTTTAAAAAAGTAAATATTTTTAATATAAATCTAAAAAATCAATTAAATATTTTTAATTATTACTTAACCTATTCTAGAATTAAGTCATAAAAAGATTATATAATCTTTTTGCTATATGGGAGTGTTTCTAGAAAAATCAGATTCCGAGAAATTTTTGACTAAAATTAAAAACTTAATACATTTTAATCTAATAATATCAAAAACTAAAATGCAATAATAATCTCAATTTTGCTAAAAAATTCCCAGAACCTGATTTTCCTAGCAATCAACCCATATACAGGGTTGAAAATTATACTAGTATTATATCAGTACTATACTAATATTATCCTAAATAATATACTATACTTAAATATTATAGTATAATACATTTCGTACATTTATTATCACGTGATCTTATAAGATTATATACAATAATTAATTAAAATAAGTAAATTAATTTTAAAATTTATTTTATAGGAGGTAAATTATGAATTTTTTTTGTTTTTGATCAGATAAAAAAAGTCACAGTTAAAATTTTTTAATTATTTTTAAATAAATTCAGGTAATTCTTATGGAGAAAGAATAGTAATAGCAATTAAATTACTTTTTTAATTTATTTAAAAATAAAAAAAACTAATTACCTTTTTTTTGTAAGATCTAGAAGTTTTTATTCTTAATTGAAGATAAATTTTAATAGAAGGTATAGAAGGTATATTAGATAAAATTATTTTTTTTTTATTTTTTTTTAAAAAATAATCTTTCGCTTACTTTTTTGTAGATTTCAGAGGACTTTTAAATTAAATTCTATGAAATAAGTATAGAAATGTCAATAAAAATTTTTTTACTTATATTAAAAAACTCACTTTTTTTTTGTTGAATTCAAAGATCTTCTTTCTAGATTAGAGGTAAATTTCTATATTTAAATTATTTAATTTAAAAAAAAACTAATAACTTACCTTTTTTTTGTATAATTTATTCTAAATCAGAAGATAATTCTTATAGTTGTAATTATTATTTTTTTTAACTTTATTTAAAAAAATTAAATTAAATTATTTTTATATTAATAAATTATTTTAATAGATAATTCTTAAAAGCTTATTCTATTAAGATAATTGTGTTATAAAATAATTTTATTTTTTATTATTTTTACTTTTATTAACTAAAAGATATATTATTAAATTTCAAATATATTAATTTATTGATTTTTTTTTTATATTAATATTTAAAATTTATTCTTTCTTTTGATTACAATAATAATATTATAATATTATTATAAACTACTTTAATTAGACTTTAATTTATTTATATATTTAACCTTAACTTTCATATAAATAGTTTTCTTTTAATCTTAAAATTAAGAAATATTAAATGGATTTAAGATAGAAATATTAGATTTACATTATAATTTATTTAATTTAATAATTATCTTATTATATTTATTAAAATCAAATTATATGTAATATTATTAGTATTTATTATTTACTCATCAAACTTTTTACTAATTATTTTTTAAATAGTTAATCAATTATTTAAAAATTTAAGAATTATATTATTAATAATGCTTTACTATAAATAAAGAGTTAAATTAATTAAAATCAAAAAATATTCTAAAATTTTTTATAAATAAAAAACTGATATTTAACTAAAATAAAATATTAAATTATATCTCACTTTAAATTATATAGTTTTTAATAATTATTTTATAATTAAAATTATTTTTATAGAATTTTTATCAAAAATAATCTCACAACTTTTTAAATAAATAATTATTTTTTTATTAATTAATTTTTACTATAAAAAAAAAATAAGTTTCTAATTAAAATTTTTTTTATTATCTACATATCAGTCATTTCAGCTTTTTTTTATATAAATTCTTTAATTCTATATTTAATTAGATTCAATTAATTTATTATCTTTAAAGAGTTATTTTTTCTAATAATATTTTAATTTAACATCAAATTTTATCATCTTATCCTTTTATGATGAGATCTAACTTTTAAATAAATAAATATAAAGATCTTAAGAATCACTATTTAGTTAAAAAAAAATCTATGGTTATAAAATTTGGTTTATTTGGTTAGACTAAATCTATTACATTATCAGAAATTCTTTTAAAAAAAAAAAAAACTATTGGTAACACATGCAATTATTTGCATGTTTTACTTCTTTATATGGACAAGAATTTTTTCATTCAGGGTCGGATGATTTTATGATGTGATATATGTGTTATAAACAAATTATGTGATATTATTTTTAATAAAATATTAAAATGTGATTATGTGATTTTATTTTTTAAAAAGTACATGACGATAAGGGGCATAAATCACATGAAATTATGTGATATCACATAAATTATGTGTTTTATGCAAAATTATGTGATCACATAAAATCATCGGTACTGATAACGATAGATCGTTTAATAATAGTTCTTTTTTACTTGGATAGCAAAAAGAAAGGGAGATTTTGAAGAGAAGAGTTCAATAGTTTGCTTGAAATGTAATGTTGAAGATCATTGATTAAGTTGATGTTGCAAAGGATAAGGTAATGTTTTTTTTGTTGATTTCAGTATATGAAATTTTACTTTCTATTCTCACATCTACCGGATTGTTTCCTACCTTTGAATTAAAGTTCTGCAATGAGAACTAAAGGAAAATGCAATAAAAAAAATATTTCGTACTATTGATTCAGAAGAAAGAATAAAATTATAAAAAGAAAAATTGTGGAAGCTTTCCTTTGATTAATAAGCTGAAGCGGACTTATTTCAATTGAAGTGGGTTATAGATCCAGTGGAATTATCCAAAGGACGTACATTTTTTTTTTTCAGGAGTTCTCATAGAACTACAAGTGCTAAGAAGAAGATGATGTGTTGAAGAGGATTTATTTCAATTAGAAAAAGAATTTGAACGTTTAGTGGGCTTATGGGACCAGTGGAAATAATCCAAAGGACGTGCAATTGTTAATTCAGGAGTTCTCATAGTACGACAAGTTCTAAGAGATATTGTTTAGGGATTATAATTGTAGAAATCATCTCGATAGCCACACAATTTCACTTGAAACGATTCTTCCAATATTAATAAATCATGTGGTTGATAATATTTATTTTATTCGCAATGTATTAACTGTAAGTAATTATTTGATCATGTTTTTATGGAATTGTCAAAAAATTAACCACTAGCATTTTTTTTTTTATTTACGAAAAAGAGATTTAGCAGTGATATCGAAAAATGCCACCTGCAACGAGGAATGTTTTGTTTACTATCTTTTTTCAACGGCTTCCAAATAAAGGGATAAAAAAAATCTAGTATTTTGTCTCTAAATCACAATAACTTTCCGAGACATCTTGTACCAAATTCAAAGAAATCAAGAATTACGGATCAGCTGGATATTAAAGATAGCGGAAATGAGAAAACTCGCCAATTTTAATATTTAACTTGTTTAATTGGTTGTCAATAATTAATCATATAAATATTGAGAAATGAATGAATGAATTTGTATATAATTTTATCTTTATTTATTAAATGTAAAAGAAAAAAGAAATCCATATATAATAAAATTTAATAGAAAAAAAAAAAAAATAATAATAAAAATTCTAAGTTCCGTTACTCTGTAATGCATGAAATAGATCACCTCTTCCGCTTATCAGTTTTTAATGACCAACATTTTCCACAGGATTAAGTATTTCATAAGAATCATCAACTCGTTCAGCATTTTGCCTAATTAAAATTTCGACAACTCTCTCGATATTACCATTATACCTTTTTAATAATTCCTCGTTTTTTACATCATCTTCCCAAAATCCCATTGCATGAAGTGAGTTGATCTTTTCTTTTAAAGTTTCTTGACTTAATTCTTCTTGTCGTCGTTGTTGTTGATATGGACAATCACGGTTGGAATTCCAAGGTCCGTTAAACCCCGTAGGTCTTGAGAAATTACCGAAACCTCTCTGACAATTGGCTGATACATCTTGAATGACTCTTTGAATCCAAGGGTTTGAAAGTATTTCATGAGGAGATTGGAATAAAGTAGGAAATTGACCAAATTGACCAAAATCATTGGTTCTCTGTTGTCCCCCTTCTCGTGAATTATTGTTGGTTTCCCTTCCTTGAGTTGGAAGATCACCTTCCGAACGAAAAGTGTTCAACCATTGAGCCCATTGATTGATGTCTACGGGAACATTTTGTAAGATTTTATCCATGATGGTGTTAGCTTGTTCAACCAATTGAGGGTTCTTTGTAAAGACATCGTTAAATTGATCATGTAATTGCTGAAATTGTTCGGCCAATTCAATGAATGGAGCTCGTTGCTCTTCATTATTAGGAGAAGGTTGTTCATTCTCCTCTTGTTGTTGTTGTTCGTTAGAAGCGGAAGTTGAAGGTTCGGCAGGTGATTCCTCCTTTTGCTTGCCTTTTGAGGCTGAAGTGGTAGAAGATTCATCATCGGCGGAATCCATCACAGTGACATGTTTATCGGCTTTTTTATAAGTATCTTCAAGAAAATATTTCTCCCTCTCAACTGGAAAAAATTCGTTTTCCGACGCATTGCTCGAGAACGTATCAACAGCGAAGTTGTTTGACTTTTCCGGATTAAGGGAGAATTTCAAAGTAGATTGAGGTGATTGAGATGATAAATATTCTTGAAGTTCCAAATCGGTTGATAAAGTAATGATATCCCCATCCTCATCCTTGTAAGAAAGGGTAAATTGTAAAGTGGACGGTAAAGAAAATAATAATCGAAGTTTTGATTCGAGATATGACCAAGTTATGGTATCGGGAATTGTGAAACGACGAACGGTGGATTTATATGACACCTTGATGGACGTCATTTTTATTTATTTATTTATTGAAAATATGGGTTGTTTTATTTTATTTTTTTTTTTTGTTATTAAAGAATTGGGTTTATTGAATTTTTTGAAGAGCAATCTCAACTCTATATTTATACCTTTTTTTTATTGTTTTTACGTACGTCAATGTGCTTATGAATTGTCAATTACGAAACTAAAAATTTTACGTACGTTATATAAAACGTAATTTACTGAAATAGTAATAAATGGCGATCACGTAATGGATGATCGTCATCATATGGTGAATATATGGAATTGGGTGGAAGCTTACAACATTTCATAATCTTCATAATCTGCAAACGTACAATGATTACGAAATTCGGAAAAAGGATATGGTATGCCGGATTTTCGGTTTATAATTATCCGAACCAGAAAAATTTGATGTACGCCCAATTTTTTCTGGTTAATCAAAAAAGTAAATCAAAAAGTGAGTGATAATCGATAGGTTGGATCTGATTGGTCTATTCGATTTTATCGTCAAAAAAAATTTCTGAGGTGATGGGATTAATTTTTGATTGGTCAAAAATGGCATGGTATTCTACCCTTACAGTTTGTCGTATATCAAGAACAGTTGATAGAAACGCCTCTGAAAATCCCTGGTGATATCAATTCAAGTAGAAGAATCTTTTGACCGGTTAAATGCGCTTTTATCAAAACACGTTTTTATTGAAATGATTTTCCCTTTTAATCAATGATCAATATTAATAATTAACTACAAAAACGCGTTCTCTAAATGATCGATTTTTATGGGTTTCGTCCTTTTTGAACAAGAATTGAATGTTCACACAACTTCAAAAGATTTATAAAACACTTTAAATAAAAATTGATCAATGCAATAAGAGCTTTTTTTATCATTAACAACGACAAATCAAGCATGTATATAGGGAGAAATTTATTTTGATTTTATTTTTTTTTTTTTTTAAAAAAAAAAAAAGGATTCTAAGTAGAGAGATACAGATAGATCAAGCGAATCTAACCAAAAAAAAAATTGAAGACCATCTCAACACAACAAGACATAAAGGTTCAAGAGAAGAATCAATAAATACATAATATCCACTAAAATATTGTTATAATAAATATATCCTTCATCGTTCCAGTCTTCTAGATGGACTTCTTTGTACATGTAACAAGGCATGTAATTTTTAATCTCATCTGCGGGCAACCAAAGGTTCTTGTTCTTCTTGAAACATATTTTGCTTGCAGTTGTAAAACGTAAGTTCATGAACTTTTGAAGAATTCTTTTGACTTCGTCTCTTTCCATGTTTGAGAGATTAATTTGAAGTACATTATACGTGTGTATTATTCTTAGTTCTCGTTCTAATATTAGTTGCTGTCGTTCATTATCTACTTCTAATTGTAGCTGTTGTTCATTATTTGCTTGGAGATGTCGGATTGTCGTCAAACAACACGCTACTACGACCCTTTGTGTGACGCCTTCAAGATCATTTATTAGGATCGAATTAATGAAGTTGGCCTCACGCATCAAAAGCATAAAGTGGAATGTTTGGAATATCCTTTGAACGTATAACATTCCATATCTTATAATTTCGACAAACATAAAGAAAAATCCCCCACTAGAAATTATAATAATAAAAATAATAAAAAAAACAATTTTAAGAAATGTTATCGAAAAAATTTTCAAAAAAAAAATTTAACTTTAACTAACACTGTTGTTGATAACTTACGTAAAAATTTCTCTTCTCAACAAATCCATTTTTTTTTCTTAAAGATTCGTTTGTGTAGTAGGAAATAGAAAAATAAGTTTCAAGAATGATAAAAATGATATTTCCTCGTCAAAGAAAAAAGTATACCAAATTTTTATGGGGAAGAGTTCGTGGGATAATCAGATTTTGTTCTATATATATATTATGTCAATCATGAAATTTTCATCATCAGTGATCTTTTTATAAAGTAAATTAAACACGCGTTGAGGAGAAATTTTAGTCCATCGAATATATGGCCGAGATTATATGGGGAATGGTGAATGCTGCAACAAACAAGAAAATTGTACTACCATAAATGTAATCTAATCTATTTTTATGTTTGGACCACTATTTTATTTAAAAAAAAGACGTGTGATATTCCTCAAAGAATCACATTCATATAATCTTTAAATTCAGCCAATCCCATCCTTCATCATCATCACGAGAGATCATAATTTACTAAACAGAGCTAACGCTCAACTTTATTAGCATGAACCATTTGTAAAATTTCAAAAATTTTAAAAGTGCAACTATAAAATTTCTGCTAAAAATACTCAACTAACGAAAGGTTCCAACTTATTTTATTTTTATTTATTTATTTTTTTTTTAAAATGGAACGCAGTTTTAATAGAATCATTCAATCGAAAAATCTCAAATTTCAATGTTATGATTACAAAAATAAGATGACTATGGACTATTTAAAAAATGGAGAGGGATAAGTGAATTCACATTCGGTCTCTGTGATTTTGGTAGGAGTCTCTGACGTAGTCATTTCTTTTGAATCCGGTGGAGGAATTGATGAGCCAATTTCCATTTCAACAATAAGTCCCTCTAGTAAATCATTAACCAATCCATGTAAATCAGAAAATCGTGATTAATAGATAAATTACAAATAAGAAAAAAATCAAAATGTATATAATACGAACCCGAATATTCCAAGCCCAAATTAAACTAAATGTAAAGGATGATGAATTGTTGTAATTAAATGAAATCGATAAACTTCGCGTAATTCAATTAAATAAACTCGAACTTCTGATATGTATTGCTTTGCAAATGAAAAAGTTTGAAAATATGCTCGTTTGTTTATCAAAATTTTGGAATTCAAAATAAAATTAATAAATAATAATACTATATTTATAATCCACTTACGTGAAGTTCTACAATATAAAGGCATGATGGATCTATTTAATCATTCTAAATTTATGTCGAATATCGTCCAGCATGTCTTTCATCATCCTCGGGAGGTTAAATTCATCCGAAGCTAATTTAGTGAGATCATATTTGTAGGAACCGCCATATGCCAGGCAACAAACCAATTCATAATTATCAAATATGCACGACATATCTGCTAGGTGTCCACGCTCTAATTTTCTTTCAAAATTTTCTTTTCGCTATTACGTCTTCGGATAGTGGATTGAACTGTAACCTCACCCTATTATATAACAAATCATTATTTTCTATAAAATACAATCATATAAAACAAATTCTCACAACTCACAGCTTTGATAATGAACCATGGCACCCGACAACGTCCATCAAGACTTAATGCACCTTCAAATAGGAATCAAAAAGCTCCCAAACCATTCCCTCTCGTGACTATTAACGGATTATTTTCCGATTCAAAAGCATTAAGACTGCATGAAAAAAAAATTTATTCAATCAGAATCAATAATATAAAAGAAAACACGTTTGTAATTAAATCGACTTACGGCATGCTTCCCCACCACAAGACTTTATTTCAATCGTCTTTATTATATGAAAATTTTTCTTATGATCGGGAGCCATCAAATTTTTCCATAGATCACGAGCTTGATGAACGTAATTTATTTTCTATTAGTTAAATGTACTCTGAGGGGTTGGTACACAATTAAAATGCGAATAAAATAACGATCTACCTTTCATTAATTTGTCTAAACAAGTAATCAATGATTGGTTCCAATATTCAACTCCAAGAACAACAGGACGATCAGAAATAAGTTTATTCCAACCATCTGGTGCAAATTCCTTTGAAAATTTCGAAGTGGGGGTAAGATCAAAAAATAACTGTGTGCAAGGCTAAATTGACATGAGTGTAGATTATGTGCATAGTGAACCTTAATCATTATTGAGCTTACTCATATTTGGATGTAGAAACTTTTTACGATAATTCTGCATAATGGTAATGAAGAAGATAATAATGGTCGTCTGAATTATTTCGAACGTTTATTGAAATTGATGCTGCAAATGCTGAAGAGGACCATTCATCATTTTGTTCTATAAATTGATTATGATTTTAATGCTCAATTTATGGTATTTTGAATCAGCTTAAAATTACATACCAAATCTTGTTCTCTTTTGCTCCCTTTCTACCGATCAAATTCTATTTCAAATACAATTTAAAACCTCTTCGTGCTATCTGAAGTCTAGATTGAGTTCCCTTAAAAGTCTAATAAGAACCATAAAAAGGATGTCAGAAAGATTAATAATCAACACTCACCCTTTCAATATCCGACTTCAAGTCAATTAGATCGGATTCCATTGTTAAAGAAATTATCTTATGTTGATTTTCCCATATACTTCTGTTCATTGGAGATTTCCTTTTTTTTTTTTTTTAAAAAAATATATATATATATAAATATATATTTAAATCAGTATGGAGGAAGGAAGATCACAAGAAGCCACGGACGCTCGGCCCTCCTCCAATGATACACGGCCACGATTTTAGCTTAAGGAGGCATTCCTTGTTTAAACACGCGGTTCAACCCAATGTTTTCATGATCACGCACACGCGGCAATACCCGTCGGATTTTACACTCGGCACCTCCTTCTCATCGCCCGGATGCCGGATTAATCATGAAGTACACCAGCACCACCTTTTCAAAATTACGACATTATTTGAACTAACGATTAATTCCTTTTGTATTCGAATTGCTGCCAATTACGCGGGATGTGTATTGTTATCGTCATAAATTTGTTTTAGGCATCTTAATTCATCGAGTGAGAACAATGTTTAGTAGTATGCATAAGCGGTGGATGAATTTCTAACCAGAACATGTCTAAATCTTAACATTCCATGTGTCATAGTTACGATTCCAGTAAACTAAAGATAATCAGAGTATTAAAAACAATATTCTCTTTGTTGATAGTTGACGCGAAGAAACTTACTTGGATGTCTAAATTCCAAAGTATCGCTTGTTGACATAATACCATTAGTAGACAAAGAAGCGATACTTGATACTCCCTCGAACATATCTTTTGTTGTCATAACACCAATAGTTCTCGATAAAAATTTGCAATTGCAAACTGCAAAAGAAGAATAGATTTTGATTTAATCTCGTGTTACTAAATAATCAATTTTACACGTTGAAAACGTGATTTCACGTGATGTCGCACAATATGTCAATTTTCTTTTATAACTAGTAGTGTGGTTAAAAGATAAATTTTGAGATTAAAAAAAAAAAGAGGGAATGCTCATTGTTCTGTTTATCGATAATAGAACCATTGAAATTTGGTTAATGTCCCTCAAACTTGTCCATTCTCTAGATTGAATGAGATGTTTAGCATTAGTAATATACATTTAGAGAATGATTCATGGCACTTCCAATTAAAACCGCTAAATAAGCAAATGGAAAATTTTCTTTTGTGATATTTGCGATTTAACAAATTATTGCTGAATCTTCGATACCTTTATTTGGGTTAATGATATGTAGTAAAAAATAAGTACATTAATAAATGTTTATTTTTAATAACTTCATACCATTCATATGAAGTGCCTAATTTTTTTTTCGCGACTTGTCAATGTGTCTTTTATAGTAAACTCTCGGTTTCGACGGTGACCGATTCAAATTATTATCATAATCAAGTTGACTGATGATTTACATAAAAAAGTTATTTATACAGGTAATCTAAAGGTTAGCGATAAAGATAATAGACTCTGTAAAGGGGGATAAGAATAAATCTCTATTATTAAATACAAGAGAATAGCTTTTATGGTATATCAGGTTGTTCGATGAAAACGTCCTTTCCTACAGAAGTTACTTATTATCCTCAATGCTGAAAATTTCTATCGTTTGTCAAAATCTTTGATGGGGTTCGTATGTGTAGCAACCATTTCAACCAGAATTCTCGTAAAATGATACCATAAAAAGGAATATCGAGAACACGTTATATAAGGATTTTAGGCGTAGGTACAACGTTATGATGACAAAATTGACACTCGATTACCCGTGATTCGATGTCGATTACATCTTTCCTGAAATTATTTTTTGCTCAAAGATTCAATTCTACGAGTTTTTTTTATCATTTCACGTGAAATATGAAATGATAGTATTGAGCAGTTTCATTCAGAGTCTTAATTGGCATCAATGAAGATTCCATGCAAAGGTGATGATAAAGGTATTTACTACGTTTATTTAAAATTTTTAGTAAACCAAGTCACGTGCCGGAAAACCTTTTTTTTCCTAAAGAATATATATCTGTTCGATACTCTTTAATTTTTTATAAAAATCTATACATTAAAAATACAATAAAACACGAAATTTTCATATATCAACATTCTTCCTTTACTACTTTCCTCTTATTTTTTTTTGTATTTCTCAAATAAATTTTCACATTCGTCATCGAACAAGCGTAGTAAAATTACCAAATAAGTTTGTGGCAAATCACAATGCCGATCACATGCAACATATAACACTAGGTCGAATTGTTTTTTTCCCACGAACTCACACTTCCTTCCTTCTTTCCTAATCATGATAGTCCCTTCCTTACCACATGAATGCGTTGAACATATTTTATATTTTGTCAAGCAGAATAATCGAGGATTATATTCTTGTCTTCTCGTAAACAGAATATGGTGTAGGATTACCATTCCATTATTATGGAGTAATCCATTCGAAAGGGAAATCAAATTAACCTCTCAAAAATATTTATTTTTAAATAATTATTTCATAAATCTAAATGAAGAAGAAAATTCGGCACTCATTGAATTAGAAAAAGGGATTCCTTCTTACCGTAGACCAATATTTGATTACATAAAATACTTGGAAGTACTTGATTTGATTAGATTAGGAAATATCATAATAGATTGGATTTCTTGTGGAAAGAATGTTAGAAGAATAAAACAGAAAACGACCAAAGTTATAAAATTATTAATAAAATTATTCACGAGAAAATCGGTCAAGATCAAATCATTAGTTCTAATTGATTATTATCATGAAAAAAATCTTTATACATTTTTTACTTCACATTTATTATCGGTTATTTCAACCGTCACACACCTTAAAATCTACTCACAAAATAAAGCACCCGCCATCTTATTTTTCGACCTCTTCCAAGAAATATATGTTTCATGCACAAAGATTGAAGATTTTGACATACAATTTCCTTCCATATTATATCCGGATAATGCCATGAATTACGTTGGAGCGATCATTAAAAATCAAAACAACATCAAATCATTAAAGATCAATCTTCCTCGAAATTGGGCTTTACCATTTCAACGAAATTCACTTCGAAATTTAAATTTACTGGATTTAACGAACTTCAAGATCCATTTGAATGATATCTTATCATCACTCCCTAACAATCAATTGACAGAATTATATTTCAAAAATTGTAAATTGAATATAGATGCGGATTCATTATCAATCAAACAAGTACCCATTTGCAGTTTACAAATTACCGATGATGAAGGTTTCGAGAAACAATATTTGATCATTCAAATGGCAGGGAAATATTTGAAAAAATTACACCTTAATAGTTTAAACGTTGAAACTGTTAAGACGATGATTAATTATTGTCCAAACATTATAGATTTCACGTTGGATCGTTTGATAAAGAGAGACATTCCACTTTTGTTTGGAATTTTAGATAATTTGAAACTTCAAAAGATTTCTTTGTCGTTGATTTATGATAGTTCTTACGAGTTGAATTCTTCAGTAATATTTGATAGTCTGGCATCACATTTACCTTCTACCTTGACGAAATTATATTTAGAAGGTAGCAATTACACCGCTAATGAAATTTATAATTTCCTGGGAAATTATAGCGGTTCTTTAACCTATTTAATTATCTATGATAAATTCCTTTTTAGAAATCCAAAAGAAAAGTTACAAGTATTTTTTAATTTTATGTCAAACAACTACAGTTTAAAGGTTTTTGGTGTTGAATTTAAAGAGAAATTGTATGATGTATATTCAATTCAAGATCTTAATAACTTTGGTCATAGTTTTATTAAGAGAGAAAATTCTATTTGTAATGACATCAATTCTTTTAGACATTTTAAAGTGTTTCGGAAGGAGAAGGGGATTTATGGGATTTATATGATTTCAACATCCGAATTACATAACTTTATTGAATATGAGCATTATTCTCTTACTTTAAATGAGTGAAATCGTAGATGGTCTATGAGATGAGTTGATGGCTTACCTTTTTTTAATAAATTCAATTTCTGTTTGGTTATTCGGAAGAGAAAATTTATTATTATTATTGTGCGACACCAGTTATTTGTATATTCTCGTCGTCCTTGGTGATTGGCGGTTACATTTTTTTTTTAAGTAAAAATTAAGCTTTTATTCCGATCATTTTAGAAATTAAATAACGTCCTCATTGATATCGGCCGATATTCCCTCCCACTTTAGTAACAAATTATCAAATCAAGATCCAACGCACCTAACAACTGTAATGAAGTTGTTATATATTATAAATTATTAAATCGTTATATGTTTAAGCGGAAACTCCTTCAACATAAGTTAATTTGTTAATTAAACTAAAATATTAATACTTTTTATTATAAATTATGTGCGTTCGTTTGTTCGACGTACGATAAGAAGAATTATTTGCATATCGTACCTAAAAATTTAATTTTTGCTTACAATAGATCTTATCATACAGTACGTTACAAGATTTCCACAATTCATTCTTTTCCTTCTCCCCTACTCCAATTCTCACTGAATTAAAACCTACACATCGTGTATAATAGTAATATAGTTGATATTATCAAATATCCAAATTTGTTAATATGCGAAAATATTATGGTGGAGTAGGAGAAAAAAAAAAGTAACAAACGCGTTTATTTTATTAAATCGTGTAACATTTAGATAGAAAAAAAATCAATTACAGTATAATGTCATATAAAATTTTTTATAAAAGAAGATTAGATTGCTTACCTTGGATTTAACAAATTTAATTTTACAATTTTACAGGTTTTTTTTTTTTTTTTTTTTTTTAAAAAAAAAATAATATATGGGTTCTGAGGAAACTACAAAAAAAAATTTTTTTTAGTTTATAAGCTAAACATTATTTTTTTAGCCAAATTTAACATTAACTCAAAAAGAATTTTTTTTTGGTAGTTTCTTCATTTTCTACTGCAAAGCACTTATATAGAATATCAATTTTCAATTTTTCAATTTTTAAAAGTAACTTAATATCTAATAATCACAAAAAAAAATAAATTTTAATTTGTTAAATTTATTTTATTAACATTAAGGTTCATTATAATAAAAATTAGTTTCAAAGCAGCTATTTCACAGATTTAAATAATCATTTCCTTTATAATCTAAAATACAGCTTGATATCATTATGTAACACAATGATTATTTTTATATTTTTAAAATTAAAAATAATATAAGTTAAATAAAAACTTTTTATTAATAATTTATTATATATTTTTTATCTTTAAATATCATTAGTTAATTATATTTTTTTTAATTTTTATTTAGAAAACATCATAAAATTTATAATTTTTTAATAAATTACTTTAAAATTACAAGTAATTTATTAGTAAAGTTATTAAACAAATAAAATTAATATGATATAATTTTAGAAAATAAATTTAATAGTAAAATTTAAGTATTTTATAATAATCTTATTAATTAAACTGACTTAATATTTAATATAATATAATTTATTGTTGATTAGAAATATTTATAAAATTTTTTTTCATTATTATAAATTCCTAAAAATAAGTAAATATTCTCTTTCAATTATCATTATTAAAAAGAATAAGAAAAAAAAATATAAAATGTTAAAAGTTTCACAACACATCTCTAAAAATATTATTGCTTAACATCAATTATATCTATTGAAAATAAATACAAATACACAATAAATAATTTACGTGATGTCTTTGTAACTTTTAAATATCTAGATAATAAAAAAAAAATCTAAACTTGATAACTTATAGACAATTAATATTTTCTCTTACTACATTAGAATTAATTTGATGAATATAACTTTAGATGATTTAAAAAATAGAAATAAACATAT